TGAGTGTGTATAGTTTCCTGTTGCTGCTATAACAAATTATCACATACTAAGTGGCTGAAAATACCACCAGTTTATAATATTACATTCTGGGGGTCAGAGTCCAAAACAGGTCTGATTGGGCTAAAATCAAGGTGTCAGCAAAGCTGTGTTTCTTTCTAGAGGATCTGGGGAGAATCTCATTCCTTCCCCTTTCCATCTTCTAGAGAACACCCACTTTCCTGGGCTCATGGTCCACATCCAACATCTTCATAATATTGAAGGTCCTTATCTCTTGACCACACCTGTAGGGAGATGGCACTCCTGCATAGGGGCTTCTCTTTGGTGAGCACCCAGAGCATGTTCTAGCTGTGGCACAGTGACTAGGAGGCCATCAAATGTTCAAGTCACTTCCTGTGGGGGAAAGAGGGAGTAGGTCTCACTTGAGAGGAGAAATCTTCCATTATCATCAGCATCATAGCAGTATAACACCTGGTCATAAGGGCAGAAATCTCATGTGAAGCCACTGAGAGGATACAAAGGAAGAAAGGAAGGGTGATAGGAAGGCCCTTGGTAGACAGTCAGGTACTGGGCAGGTGGAAGAGGAACGGCACTAATGATGATGATGATTCCAAAGCCCCTTGATTCATTTCATGAATATTGTCCAAACACCTCCCTTGTGCAGAGCCCCATGACAGGTGCCATGGGTGTTACAAACTTGAGGAAAGTCTTGACTTTCACCCTAAAGGGGCTGTGCTTTTCTAGAGAAGTTAAACCATGGCCACACATAATTCAGGATAACCTGGGCAAGGGGAAGCAGACACAGAATAGAAGGCTGCTCAGAGGTGGCAAGTTTTGAGCCAGACTGTACAGGAAATATTTGGATTGGTCTTCCAGGGGTGTTCCCTACCATCCCCAACATTAAATAGAACCCACTTCAGGTTGTGTGGTTCGAGGCCACACCCCTCTCCCATTCTCATCTGGATGATGGATTTATTAATGGAAAAGATTTGGCCACTTATGTTGACTGACAGAAGAGTAGGGTTAGAAAAGAGAGAAACTTTCCCTAAGAAAATCTGAAATCTTGTCTTGTGCCAACTACCCAGCTTGGAAATAATCATATGGGTGATCTTGAGGAGATCAAATGGGTGAGATGGATGGACATGGAAGAAAGGCACCAACTACATACCAGAAATTGGGAGTGTGACCTCCTGGATGGGTTTTCATCCCCAGACTGTCTCAGGCAGATGACTGAGGCTATGGAATCCATCTCATGTATCTAGGTTACATACCTGTCATAAAGAGAACACACATGTGGGAGCTGAGAGGCAATTTTCCCTGTTTCACTTCAGGGAGTTTCATGAAGCTTCCTGAAGGTACACCTACTCAGTTTTCTCTTTCTCCTTTGTTAGCTAGTGCCAAACTTTTCCCTTTCCAGGGTCTTGGAACCACCTTCAACCATATGGGGAAATAGTTTGATCCCACAGTGAAGGAACCATCTGTTTTGGGATCTTCAATACTTTTTCACAATACCTTGTTATGTGACAATCCCAGTGTCCAGTTCTACCTACTAACACAAACAAGAGAATCCAGGTGTGTCCTTCATTGCCAGAGACTTTAATATTGACAGTAATCAATCAATTCAGTGTTTAGTCCCACTAATCAGTGCAGGAGGAAACTGGAGAGGAAATGATTGAGTATAAACTAGACTTTTGGCAAACATTTCAGAACACTGACATTCTATGCAGCCAGCAGGACTTAGTTTCCAGAGATCCTAGACAATCCCCTCTCCCAAGGGGCACAGGAATAACAAGGTATAAAGCACAAGGATGTAGACCATGAACAGTTCTGTTATATTTAGATTTCTTCAAGCAAGCAACAAACAAATCAAAGTTCTAAAGGGGCATTCCATTGATGCATGGAATACACAAATAAATTTGATAAGTGAATAAATGTATGGTTAAGTGAATAGTTAATCAGTTTAGATAGCAGCTGAAGAGGATGGGAAGGCACTCACCAAGGGAATGGGGAAGAAATGAAAGCACAAAGAGGAGTATGTGCTTGTATGGAATGCAGAAAGTCCATATAGTAAAGATTATTTGTAGTAATGATTAATTATCAATGGTAGTAATTATGGCCCCCAGCTGCTTTCCAGGTCCATTTGCCACTCTCCCCTACAGAAATAATTTCATTCCTCTGACAGGTAGGTGCACATGCATGGGCACACATATCCAAGTACTGTATTTATCAGAGCTCTCCAGCAAAACAGAAGAGTATATATAAGATAAGGTTTGTATATTATATATAATATGTATTCTATAATAAGATATGTATAAATATGATAATGGCTTGTGAAGTTATGGAGGTGGACAAGTCCCATGATCTTCTTTCTGCAAGCTGAAGACCCAGGAAGGAAGGTCAGTGGTGTAGTTTAAAGGCCTGAGAACAAAAGAACCAATGGTGTAGATCCAGTCTGAGTCTAAAGGCCTGAGAACAAGTAGTGCAGAGAGCAAAATTTCAATGTCCCAGTTAAAGTAGTCACGCAGAGAGAATAAATTCTCCATTATCTACCTTCTTGTTGTATTCAGGCCCTTGATGGATAGGATGATGCCTACCCACATTGAGGAGAGCAATCCACTTTACCTACTCTATTGATTTATGGAAACATCCTCACAAACACACCAAGAAATAATTTTTAACCAGCCATCTGAATATCCCATGACCCAGTCAAGTTGACACAAAAGATTGTCACACACACACACACAAACACACATATGCATGCACACACACATCCCTACCTGTGTTACTCTATATCCTGTTCTCCTAATGATGTCCTTTCACTACCAGTTAAACTCTTAGTTTCAGAGCACTGCTGAAATACTTCATCTTGAACACACTTCCAGGCACCAATTCACTTCCCTTCTCCCTCTTCCTAGCTCATAATTCTCTCTCTTGTGCTCCCATAGCACTTTTCACTCATCCCCATTTTTTCACTTGACACCTGTGCTATCATTATCCAATATCTGTCTTCCCTTAGATAATACAATAGAGCAAGCCAAGAGTTCTTAGACATCTGTGAGTCCCTAGCCACATGCACAACTCTCAGAACAGGGTAGATGCCCAATAAATGTTAGTGAATGAGTGAATGACTAAGGTCTGAAATGTTCAACATGAAGTTTTATGAGTTGACAGATGTTGTATTTATTGCTAGTTTGCTATTTATTTGAGCAGTCATTGATGCTCAAAGTGACTTAAGAATTAGTATTTATGAGTAGCCTGCATGGAACAAATATAGAGGAAATATTTTTGAAAAAATTGAAAAAAACCTCATGAATTTAGAATAACTTGAAGTAGAATCTGCTAAAATGTGTTACAACTGATGGTGATTAAAAATTATGTGTGGAGCAGAAAAAGGGTTAGTGAACAAACATACAAAAATTTTGAAAATAGAATGTATTTAACTCCTATGGTCTATTCATTGTATTATTTTTCTTCAGTTACATTGCAGAAAACCTTTTAATCCCTCGTGTGCTATTTAGCTAGTAGTGCTGCTGTGGAACTTCATTTACTTTCATGAACTTAACCACTACTGTTCTATGAACTTAATCACAGCAATTCTATGGCTGAACAGTGGTAATGGAAATTTTTGTATGTGATGTTTTTTAGCTCAGGGCTGATATTGAATTATTTTTGATCAAGAAGAATACCTCTCAGTTATTATTATTGAATACTGAATGGCTTTGGAAATTTATATTTGTTGTATGCCTGTTAATGCTTCTTAATAATTCAACCTAAAATCACAAGACAAGCAGTGCTTATATATGAGATTTATACTGGTTAAAGTCATCTCAATGGCAATTAATGTTGGTTGAATCAAAGTAATGTCAGGTTACTTTATGTACTTCTCACACGAATGTGCAGTGGATATTTTATCCAAGTTTAAAGTTTCAGTATTTTTCCCAGACTTCTATACAAGTACAAATAAAATTTCCATATTTCAAACATACTTAACTGTACATTTGAATAACTTCCACCTAACTGTCAATTGGAAGTGATTACTCTGCAGTATAATACATGCTCAATAGCACATGTGAAGAGAAGAATCTAATTGAACTTTGTAAAATGTCTTCCAAGAGATGAATATGTTCAATTAAAATCAGATGCTGGCGAGTTGATACCAGTGTTTGAAAGTACCTATCTCTTCGATTTGTATTAGTGCTTTCCATCATATAGCTGTGTGAAGATATTTTCAAAGATGAACAATGTAAAACCTCATTAGAAAAAAACAGATCAACATTTACAATCATTTTTGATGACAGAGAACATTAATACTGAATCTTAACTAAGCAAATGTCATCCTCCCAAAAGAGTTTCATTCTCATCTTAATGAACCCATATCATATTTAAAATATATGCAATTATCATTATGTTTTTAGTTTCAACAATAAAATATTTGTGGAAATTTGTTTTTTTTCTCCTGTTATACAAGTACTTTCATAATAACCTCGATTCTGCCTGTAGGCCCTGCAGAGACTAATGTTAACTGTGTGCCCTTTACAGAATAGGTTTTCCCAGCTCAAGGTGCCTTCAAGTAAGACCATTATACTTTCACCAATAATCATCAAAGCAAAATAGACAGGACTGGCGTGGATCTAAAGGGTTGACTTCATTACTAAGACTTCAAAGAAAAGGTAGGTAATACTGAATAGTCCTAGAACCTCAGAGCCTTGATCATTCATTGGATGTAGGGTATGTCAATCTTCACTTTTCAGCAAATGAGTTTAGAGCTTGTTATGAAGGGATGCAGTCCTTTATTGACCCTTTTGACCCTGCCCTATCTCCTGTCTCTCGGAAGTTTTCATTCCTAGTGGGGGTCTTCGGAGGCACAGCCTTAGTTGACAACTCCTGGAGCCTGAGATTGACCCCCTGCCCTTCGCATAGTGGGGCCTCCTTAGGCACCACCGTAGATTGTCCCCTCAGTGGGAGGCTCCTCCATGTTCCCCTCCCCTCAGACTCCACTACCAATGGCCTTCCCTCAAGGGCAGCCAGCTAGGCCTCCACCATCTTCACTGTCCTCATTGCCCCAGTCCGATTGCAGCCCAGTTGAGGTACCCACTGGTGTCATGTCTGCCACAGGGGATCGAGACCCAACCCAAGAGGGCCCAGTGGGAGAGTGGATGGGGGCTGCTGGAGTGGGTGAAGGGATAGACCTCGACTTGGGCCCAGATGGGGGCAACATGGCACCTGAGACCATGGAAGCCCAGGTGGCGGGTTCTGGGGGGATGGAGATCCTGGAGCCTGAGGGAGGCCTAGAGGAGGAAGAGGAAGCTCAGGGCCTAGTCCCGGCCAGAGCCCGGGAGGGCGGCGACGCTGAGGAAGACTCGGACATTGGGCCGGCAGAGGAGGAGGGAGGGGACCTGGAAGAGAGCCAGGACATCCTCGTGGACGCCCGTCAGTTCCCCATGGTTGGCTTCCGCTTCATGTTCCTGGATCTGGTCCACTCCCTTCTGCACCGCATCTACTACAACGACCACATCCTGATCCGCCCCTACCGTGGCCCTGTGGTGGTGTGATCCCGCTCGCCAATGGCGGATGTCTCAAGCGAGCTCCCGGTGCTGCACATACCCCAGAGGCTGAGAATGACGGCCCAATCTCGGGAGGTCCAAGGCGAGGGCCTTCGCTTGGGTCTAGGCCTGCCTGAGGTGGCCACCTCAGTCCTAGAGTTCCAGGAACCAACAGACAACGCAGAGGCAGCCCATGTTTCCGTGGAGCAGACAGAGGAAGTGGCAGAGGAGGAGCAGGCAGACGAGATGATAGATCAGGTCACAGAAATAAGGGGTGAGGAATGGGTGTAGGGGCAGCTGCATGGGTACTTGCTTGTGGCCAGTGGCAGCAAGTGGGGATGGTGTGCTGGCTGAGGGAAGTGGCGAGATCCCCGGGCCTTGGGTTAGGGAAGTGGTGGGTCCTGACCTCCTCCAAATTAAGGCTGAATGTGCCGGGTAGAAGCCCAATTCAAAGCAACCTTTGCAGTTTTGAAAAAAATGTGCTGTCCTTTACCAACCTGTATTTAATAAGAGTTGGGACTGTCAATGCGATTTGCCAGCGGACAGATGAATGTCAGGTGTTCAGGAGGGAGCTCGGGAGGAAATGGAAAGAACCCTGGAGGAAAAGAAATAGCAAAGGGTGCACCTCCTCTTTGGTTCACAGCATTTGAAAGTGAAAAAGGTCTTAGAAAGTTGAGCCTAAAAATGATTTGGGAGCACTTGGTAAAAAAGACAGGTTCTGGGGTTAAGGAAACAATTGGCTTCACTGCAGAATTTGTCTTTGAGACAAACAAGTATTCTCCCAACAAAGTTCTGACCAAAACATTGAAAATGCAAACTGACCCAATCACTCTGACCCTTTCTTCCCTAAAGGAGAAGTAATCAGCAGCATTAGGAGGGAGATTTCCTGGGAAGAGGGGAACATGTCACTGTGGAAAATATTAAGCAGCAAAAATATGAGGGCCATGGAAGGGTGATGTCAACCAGCAGGAAGGTGCCTGGCTATGTTTTCTTAGCTACTTCTTACTTCTCCTGAGGGGAGATGATTGGTGCTGCTGCTGGGTATGAATTGGGCTAGTTTTTCTATGAGTATCTGATTTCACTGTTTGTATTATTCTTCACCAAAGAAATAACTAAATATCAGTATGGTAACTGGAGTGAAGATGATGTAGACTTTGGAGGTGAAGAAGAGAAAGAACAAGAGGAAGAAAAAAAGATGGAAAATGAAAAACAAGAAGAACCTGAAAAGGACCCAGATCCACTGGATGGCAGCCCCAGAAAACCCAGGTATCTGTGTACAGCTTTGGGTATCACTCAACAGTTCTGGCCTTTATCTGCTACTGACAGTTTTATGTTTTTGGTTGATTTTTTTTTGATTCTTAGAAATTGAGAAAAAGTTTATTTAAGATCACATTACATTTGATTTAGCATACTTAGAATGTTACTAGAATACTCATATACCCCTAGTAGTATAAAATATACAATATTGTGATATATACTTCATAGCTACTCATCTGTTCTTGTGAGTCTTTCATCCTCTGGCAACTGCTACAGTGTGGGCTGGGCCAGGTACTAGTGGGGTCTTCATTACTTGGCCATTGAACTGAATTCTCCTGTACTAACTAGGAGGCAACACCTTATAGAATGTGACTACTAACAAATAGCAAAAGTTAGGAACTTCAAGTAGGACCACATTTAATGCTTAATACCTAAATATTTGTTTAGTTGTTAAGTTTTGTATTTTATGTTAGTCAAAAGGAAGAACCTTGGTCATAGAATGATTATTTATCACTGAGATGTTAATTAAGTCTTAAGCTATGTCTTGTCTTTGAGCATATTTAAATCATCAATGTTTTTTTTTTTCTTTTTTGCATTTCACAGCTGTGTATTTCACAATAGCTCATTTCTCATATGGTAGATGTGAAAACTAAGGATCTGGGAGGGTAAGGGTGTGCCATTTGTGGAAACAGCACAGGATTTTAAAGCTTGAGAGATTTATTTAAATGATAGAATGGACTTCAAGTAAAACAAACAACACACACACACACACACACACATACACACACCAAGAATGTCTGGTGTTCGGCAAGAGGGAGACAAGGTTGGTGTCATCACATAATTGAAGCCCTCAGTTGCATGAGCACCTTGATACCCAAGGGTTCGAGCTACTAGAGGAAAATGTGTTGTTCTTCTGTACTTGTTGAGATACAGCATAAATGCGGCAGGCAAATGTAGAGCCTATTTTCTTAGATATAGAAAGCAATTTATGTTGTATAATTGTTCTTTCATTTTATTCATAGTTGGAAAGAATAGAAAAGGATGAAGAAATAAGAAAGAATCTGATCTTCACTCTTTTTATGTGTTTGCTTTTCAGAAGCCCAAGGCAATTTTATCAATATTGGTTTCATTCCACAGATCATTACCCCAAAAGTGACATCCAATGATACCTGACTTTTCTATTTATTTATTACACTAATCTACTTATTTATTATGTTTTAATGGCATTTGTTCAAGAGAACAAATAGTTTGTTTTCAATGACTAACTTGAAATATAAGCATATTTTTAAAAAGATAACACTCAAATCTATGTTTTACCTCTTTATCTTCATTTGAAATGGATCACGTTCTACCACTTGGTAAACTTTATTTATAAAGTCTTTTATAGCAGCCTAAACAATTACAATGTCAAGTTTAAAAATGTTTTATGAGGAAAGAGATCGAGGTCAAACCTTTAGTTAAAACTATGTTAGTCATTATATTAGTCACTTAGCCATGTGTGGCCCTTGAGCATGTAAAATGTGATTAAGTCCTATTTAAGATGTACTGTGTGTGTAGAATAAATCTAACATAATTCTCCTATGTATACATATGAAAAAATCTGAGTGAATCTCACCATTGTATACACCCACAAAGATGGGGTCTTAATTAGATATAAGATATACCTCATACTTGTATAATTTTATCAAAATGCATTGTCTTGTATAACTAAGAAGAAACAATAAAAAAGAAAGATCACTTGACTCTTCAGAGTTTGTCCAAAGTGTTTTAGTAGTTCATGGATCCAGGTGATCATGGAGTAATGGGAACTCATAAGTGGGTACTAATGTTCTAAATTCATTTGAGCCTTGGAAACAAGGTTGTGATGGCTAAAATTCCCTCAAATGTTAATTCTCCTATTATAGAAGAGTAGCAAACAAAAAGGTGTAAAAGAGCATACAAAGAAAATAATTTATTCAAGATTTTTGCCCATATTGTTGATTTCATCTATCTCTCAATTCCAATTCATTTTCTTAATCTTAATAAAATATACTTCTTTCAAGCCCTCAAATAAAGATGTACTGTGTGAAAAACAATGTAAAATATCTCAGTAATAACTAATGATATATTGAGATGATAATATATTTGGTTAAACAAAATATGATATTAAAATTATTTTCATCAGTTTCTTTTAAATTTTTTAATGCAGCTACTAGAACATAGATCGAGTTATATGTCTTTTGGACAGAGCTGCTCTAGAGCATGGTTTTGAAGGAAACTTCTTAGTACTTTCCACCTCCTGCCCCCTTCGATGTCAGGCACTTTGTTAATTTATCCTTGTATTGATGGACATTTAGGTTTTTTCCTTCTTTTGGCTATAGTGAATAGTGCTGCTATAATAATTTGCTTACTAGTACTTGTGCAATATTTAAACATGGGTGTATCTACTCCCCTGCACTGGAAACTTCTGAATGATCAGGACTTTAAAGGGTTTTATTTATCTTCCTCTCCCAAAGCCCTAGATACTGAGTTTTCCACATAGTATTTGTTCAGTTAAAGTCTATTAATAAACTAAACTTAGAACATTCAAAAGCCCTTTTTATTGTCACCAGTGCTGATATTTTAAAGTGTACTATCATGTAGTATTCCTTATGGCTAGAATTACACAGTGAGACAGAGGCACAGGGCCTCTAACCATCATTACTTAATTTGAAAGGGCAGGCCAATAGATTGTTTTCCATATAGTGTTATTTGAGGGTCTTCAAACTGGTGTTTATGTTTCATAAGTTGTTAATATGGTATTTCTCTTAGACTTAGACAGGAAGGATGTATGTACTGAGTTCCATACTTTAGAGTCCCTACTTTAGCCCTCTACCAGCCATGACCCTACATATAGGTCCATGAGACTGTTGAGAACAAGGGTTATTTCCTTGCTAGGCCATGTTTCAGGTAGCTGGGACCTCTGAATAATTTCAAGTCTGCTGTCAGGTTCTGCATGCTCTTCTTGGAACTGTCCTTGGGAGGTTGACTATCCTATCAGGGTATCTGCTCCCAGACCTAAGGGGTGGCTGTTATGCCTGGAACAGAGCATGGAGCCTGGTCTTGGAGACAGGCCAGAACCAAGATCAGAGGAGCAGGGATGGGAAAGAGAACCATGGCAAGGAGGCGGGACTTTGGGGAGTCTGAAAATTCAAAAATCCAACCTAAATCTTCAGGTCATTATTAAGGCACACTTGTTATTTGTAGTATTAGTTTTTTTAAATGTACATTTGTACATTTGTAGTATTAGTTTTTTTTTAACATGGATCTGCAACTGAACTCTTAATCCAGTTAAATATCTAGTTGGTTAGGCTAAATATCTAATCTAAAACCCTTTTCCTTCCCTCATTCCATGCCACACCTTATTGCCTAAGTATAGTGGTCCCATGTTTCCAAAAATGCTGGTTCCAGGAACCCATCTTGCTGTAAGAGTTAGAACTAGTCCCTGAGCTAGGCTGAAGGACAACCACGAACAATCATGTCCCTTCCACTCATCTAGCTGCACCCCTCCACCCATCTCTCTCTTTGCTCCCCAGCTATTCATACACAAAACTTCTTCAATAGCAGTCCCTCCCAATACAAGTGCCCACCTGGAGCCACTGGCTTGGTCAGGCACAACTATGTAGAGACCCTTTATGTGTAGCACAAGGTCTTAAGGACACTTTACTCCTCTGACAAACTTCAGGTCTGAGTTGCCAGGATTCTATTTGACTTCCCTCCCCAAGTCACCAACAGACTGAGACAGACTACCAAATAGGTTTTGTTGAATTTATTTGGTTTGCACATATCAAAAAATCAAGAAAGCTAAAAGAAGCTGAAATCTTGCCAAAATGTGCTTTAGGCATTAGTAATTCTTAAACTCTTCATTTTAAAACAGAGCTTTGTTAACAGTGGAAAAGAAATTGTTAATGGAAAGTTCTCAGCGTGGGAGTAACCTAATAGAAGTCCACTGTCAGAAAAGTGGGAAGGAAGATATAACAGCTACTCTTCCAAGATTAGCTGGAAAAAGGGCTTCTACTTTAATAAAGTGTTCACTATGGGGATACAAAGGGAATAAATCAAGTCAACTGAAAATCTAGTATACCCAAAAAGGCTAAGCTACAATATCAGGAAAAAAAAGATATTTTATAGAGAAAATGCAAAATCTAGCATGTATTTGCACAGTGTCACATTATACCACCATCTGCAAAAACCAGCACCAAGTATCTAAATTAGCTCTGGCATCTCATTGCCTCTCTGGACAGTTTTGCACGAAGAAGCACCCCACTCAGAATGTAAAGTCACAGTTAAATTTCTAGGCCTATATTTCTGTTCAAGCAAAGTAGCCCCGGTGACAGAGGATGGTATGGTGATTGCTATCCTGAGAAGTTGTTTCTGAGTCTCTAGGAAAATGAGTTATGTTTACTTCGCAGGTATCTAAGGGAGTGCCCCCCAAATGTTTGATGGGCTTGGGGGTGGAACAAAGGGAAAGGACATGGAAAAGATTTAAGTGACTTCTAGTTCACCTGGATGAGGTTCTAGGGTGGCCTGCACCTTGGAAAGTGAGCCAATTGAGAAGCCAACTGGGGGTCAAGGTGCCCACATCTTTACTCCTGAGCCTGGGAGTTTAGTGGAGACCATGCCACCAGGATGGGAAGGGAGCAGTCAAAATGTACTAGGCTATTTCCCCCTCCCCTCACTGTGACCAACCCTCTCCTCCTGCTTCTTCCTCTCCCACTCTTGTCTTTTTGCATTTTCTCTTCCTCATGTTGGGGGTGAGCAGGTCACTGGGGAGGTTGGGGCTTTCTGACGTAGTAACTTGGGAGGTGCCTGTCTCTAGGAATGGAGAGTGGGGAGAGGCTGGTTTCATCATTTGTGGTTTCCTAGAAGCAGAAAGTTCATTTCTCTGTGGCTTTGTCATAGCAGTGT